TGTGCTCTGCCCACCACGGGTATCGAAACCCGGATTCTAGCGTTATAAGTCCGCAGAAATACCGCTGTGCCACTGGGGGGCACGTTCTTTTCCATGCTTGATTTTATCTTGAATTTTCACATCCTTGTTTTAGCAATAAAAAGTTAAATAATAATAACTAGGTAATATTAAAAAAGGAAGCAATTTTTTCCCAGTTCAAAAAACGTAAAATAACAATTTATTTACGTTAAGAGGACTACTCGAAAAGGTTTTTTGATAGGAAATGCCTTTAAAGTTAAGGTATTTTAGTGAAAATCTTAACAAAGTTTGATCGCAAAATACATGAAGCATAATGGAAGTTCTGTCATTTATTTAACCTCATATTCAAACACTTCTTATGATATCAGGTCCATTAAGGACAAGAAACATTAACTCGATATGTTGTTATTGAGACAGGTGTTGACTCAAATAAACACGCCATTCAAGTAGTAAAGTGTAATTAAATTCAACTTATTTAATCTAAATATCAGTATTGTGTACTTGTACTTGGTTACGAAATATTAGATATTCTATTTCTATTAATATTCGATTATTTACAATGATTCTTGGTTTAAGCACTTTTGAAAGAAAAATTTTCTTGGTTAGGAGGTTAAACCGAAATATATCACAGAGGAATTGAACTTCAAAATGATATGACACACAAGAACCTAATAATGAGACTCGTAGATCACCAAGTGCTAAGCAAGAAAACAGCGAGAGACTCAAGTGACAAGAAAAATTCGAGTGCCTAATAACTAACACAAGAATTAAGTGCTAATCCTAGGAAACAATGAGTGAAATCAGATAATAAGGTCACATAGTACCTTAATTACCCTACACCTGTCATATCCAGTACCGACGAAGTCTTTCGCCCAATATCAGGGCTCATTAGGCATAGTAGGTGCTATATATATATCATCAAATTTCACACATAACAAATGGTGTGAATCAGATTAAGAAAGTGAATTTTAATCATTATCAACTCTATTTACAAACCATTTACTTTAATGACAAATATTATATCGCTTTAATGCTGAAAAAAGTAAATTTCTCTCAATTAGAATAAAAACAAAGTTAAAGATGGACTAACTTTGGAAAGTAGCCTTAATAATGTTCTATATTTAAAAATTTTGAATCATGATTCCCTGTTTTGTAGCTATTATATTAAGATTCTTATCTTCAGATATGTAATAAAACCGAAGAAAGTCGTTTAATTATTAGATCATTATAGTAAGATTAATAACACAACATTGTTCATTTAATTTATTAATTTTAACAACTATTATTATGTTTACTGTTATTATTACTATATTTTTAATGAATGTTTCTATAATTCACAATAACTGGCGAAACAGCAATGTAGTCTTCTTGTTTCCGGAACGGATCAAGCAGCCACAGCGTTGACGGGGAAAAAAACTACATTAGTAATTCTAAGAATTAGTACAGCTTTATGTCTGCGGACTTACAATACTAGAATCCGGGTTTCGATACCCGTGGTGAGAAGAGCACAGATAGCCCATTGGTTAGCTTTGTGCTTAATTACAAATAAACAATTCTAAGAATTCATGAATGAATCAGAGCAGAACCGTGCTGACGAGTCCTTTCGCCCAATATCTCATAAGACATGCGAGAACAAAAGTGTTAACTAGAGTCATGTATTGCACATGGGATTCAAGTGGCATACGTCCATGTGCTAAGACATAAAATAAAATACTTGGGTAAACAAGTGCTAATTATGATAAGTTCTAGTAATAAAAGAATTTCGTGGGCAAGAACATTATAAAGTGTAGAATGGAAAATCATAATGGTGAAGAGCTCACCAAATCAAAATAACTATTTGTGAAAACGAAAACAACGTTTCGGGCAATAGTCCTTCACCGGACTTCCAGTGAGAAAGAAGCCGCCAAAAGAAGAGTTAGAATGAAACAAAAAGAACAAATAACACGTGTATCAAAGGATCGAGAACAACGTCTTAAGCGACAAACGAGTTAAAAGAAGTGGCATACAAAGTTTGTTTGTAATTAAGCACAAAGCTACACGAAGAGCTATCTGTGCTCTGCCCACCACAAGTATCGAAACCTGGTTTCTAGCGTTGTAAGTCCGCAGACATACCGCTGTGCCGCTGGGGAAGGGGGCATACAAATATAAAAATAATAATACAATTAATATATTATTTGGTAAAACATTAAAAATATAGTAAATAAACTAAATAGTAAAAACAAGAACACGAATACAAGCAACAATGCAAGAAGATGAAATCAATAGGAGAATGAACGCGTTGTTCAAAGAGATACAACAATAAAAGGTATGGTAATTTAATACAAAACGGGAAGATAAGAATTATTAAAAGAAACCAATCAAACAAATGGATATAAATGTAATAAATGTGGGTAAATAAAGTTATCAGGCTAGTGAAGAAAAAAAAAAGAGCGCGAGCACTGAACAAAACTGTTCTGTAAACAAATGTTTGGTGTGAGAAAGTGTAGATTGCGTATACGAGAAATTGTGAAGTGGGGAAATGGAACGGATAAAGAACTCTTCATTCATTTCAAAGAGATGAATAGTGCCTAATTTAAAAATCAAACGTTTTTCCCAAGCATTATTTCTGCGCTACAGAGCAGATAGTCCAAGTATGGAGATGTCGGGGTTGGAATGTGAAGGGTTATTAAAATGTCTACCTGTGGGTTTTGTTGTGTATTGTATCATATATAAGAGATGTTCACGAGAACGATCTACTAAGCGGTAACCTGTTTGACTCATGTGTGGCAAACCACATTTTTCTAGGGATCACAAAAATGTCAGTTTTCTTGGAATGCAGGTGAATGACTGTTGTATTTGGGATTTTCCTCTGGGGCCAAATATGGGTGTTGTGGTGTTAACATATTAGCAGGTGTCGCATTTTTTCTCTGAGACAACGAGGTGTACCAGGGTTCACACTAGCGGTAGATTTTTGGATGATACTTTGGACTAAACTGTTTTTGATATTTTTATTGTGTCTATAACTGACTAGTGGACGTTGTTGAAATTTTTTGAAAGCTATGGGGTCGTCAGTGAGGATACTGAAGTTTTGTTAAATTATCTGGACAAGTTATGTTGTTTATTTTCTGATATTCGAGCAACGTTACTCAAGAGATGTCCGTGCTAGCCTTCCCCAATTCTCATTGTTGAAGTACATAACTTATTAATTCAGAAATTGAATATACGTATTTAACAAACTAATCTTGCTAAAGTTAGGAAATATTTGAGTAAATTATGATCTTCCCAGTTAAAGATCCAATTAAATTCCGCCAAAGTGATTAATTTTTGTGTTTGTAATCAAGCACAAAACTACACAACGGGCTATCTGTACTCTGAC